GTAACGGGGTTGGTTTTATCTTATACAAGCAGCCTATTCACAAAGTGCACTGTAAATTCTTAGTTCGACTGCAATAGTTAGTTCAAGCCGAGGTATGTATTCAGCTTAAGGATCTAAAAACGACAGAACTACTTTCAGTGACGTTTGCTGAGCCGTGACCAAGATATTATGACCAAGTATTCTCACAATGCCAAGATTTACCGAGAGTCGAACGTGGTCACTAACGACAGAACTCTTTGAAAATCTACTATCACGTATAAATATACGCAAAAGATTGGGAAGCAAAGCACTGTTCGAATAATTAAAAAAGGATAATACAAATGCTGAGCTTACCATCGGCGTAAAGCAGCTTTTCGACGAAAATTGAGGCTATATCGGAGGGCTGGTCCATGTACATGCTCTATGAGAGTGACGGTCAATACCGCACAGACGTTGACCCGTTGTTGATAGACACTTGAACGTTGACTTGTTCTTTTACTCTTGATATTTTGCCGAACCCTTGAGCTGGGAGATTGTTGAGCTATTCCAATTCCAATTAGCGCCTGAAACCACTGAACCATCACGTTTCCGTTCTATTCGAGACTGCACATATGTTTAAGCACTCAAAGCATTGTATTGTGGAGTGGATTTGTGGCATCTACTGAGCGGGCTTCTGTAAAGCTGTCTGTCCTCAGTGGTGACCCTGATCGCTCTCCTGTGACATCTACAAATTACAGGTCCCCGATCATGGAACATCGCACGTTACGATTATTGATCATGAAGGTAATGCGATTTCCTGCACGTCGACGGTCAACCAGATGTGAGTTTTCGCTTTTGAATTTTTTTTCGCAAAACTGTTGTTCCAATAAGAGCTTCACTCCATGTATGGAGTGCAAAAACCCTTGCTGTCAGCCACTGTAAGGTAAAGGTTCACTTTTTGGTAGAGTGCTCGCAAAGCGAATCTCTTCCCATGCAACTTCAGCGGAAGTCAACTACTTCTTTGTTCTCCACCTCCTCCTGATATAGTATTTTGCTATTTCTTTTTTTGCTGAATATTCTACTGAAAAGGTTAGAAGGCATCAAAATGAATCCCCTTTCCGTTCCTTGGTGAATAGTAAAATATTAGGTATTCAGTGTACGTACTTGCGTAAAAGCTGTTAGCGATGTAACCTTAGAGCGGGAAACTTGTAATGGTCATCGATATCTCCCCTCAAGTTGGTTTGAGTCGCCTTTTTTGATCTGTTATCGATCGGCGTGACGTTGTTCAAATTGAAGAATGGACCAGGAGCGCACGACCACACCTAGGCACACAAATTACCTATAGCCGTATAGAGTCCCTAGCAGTGGTTGGAAATGTGAAATCCGCTTTCCTCGCAGTGATTGGAACAAGCTATCCTCCAAAGTTTTTGGGATTCTACTTCTTGCTACCGACCCACGAGAATGGACCGCCAAACGCGATCAATAGAGCTTCAAAACTGCTACCTAAACCAACGTGACTGATTACGTGGATGGTTTAGGCTTGAAGGTAAAATCCGCTTCCATGCCGTTTTGAACAACTCCTGCAGTTTATCCTGAATGTGAATTTCGCAAGTTGAACTGAAAAGAATGTTCTGCTTTGATCCCTTTTGGGATGGACGCTTTCC